ACTGTGTTCCTAGGGAGATGATTTGGTGGGCGTTGCGGTCGAAGTTGGTACCAGAGACCTACGTGGAAATCGTACGTGACATGTACCGCAACTCCGATTCAATAGTCAGGACCGCTGTTGGTGATACCCTTCCCCATAACCATAGGCGTGCATCAGGGCTCCGTCTTAAGTCCCTATCTCTTCAGTGTGATATTAGACGAACTGTCAGCCAGCATACAGAAACTACCGCAGCCTTGGCTGCTTATGTACGCTGATGATATCGCACTGGTAGATGGGGACAAAGGACGGTCACCAGACGCGTGCACGCATGGAAGGAGGCGTTTGAGAACGGCGGGCTGAAGCTAAATGTGGCGAAGACGGAGTATATGGCCTGCAACAGCACAGATCTGACGTCTCTCCGTGTAGGCGACGACACCGTCGAGGGCACGGACAACTTCAGGTACCTCGGATCTGTGCTTGATGCGTCCGGTGACATCGATCGCGACATCAAGGCCCGTATATCAGCGGCTTGGGCGACATTTCGCCCAAGCCGCTGATATATAATGGTGCGAGATGACGGGTGTCATTTGTGACCCCAAAATGCCGGTCAAGCTGAAGGGGCAGGTCTATAAGACCATGATAAGGCCTATCCTTACGTACGGCAGTAAGGCGAGGCCGGTGCTGGAGCGACACCGGCAGTTGTTGCATGTCACGGAGATGAACATGCTGCGATGGATGTGTGGCATCACGCGGAAAGACCGTGTACGGAATACATACATCCGCGGCAGCCTCCATGTCCGTGACATTGCTGACAAGCAGCAGGAAAGTCGCCTCCACTGGTACGGCCACGTCTTACGACAACCAGCAAGCTACGTGGGAAACAAATGACTGGACATGACCTTACCTAGTACCAGGAGTAGAGGACGGCCCAAGAAACGCCGGCTTGATGTCGTGCAGGATGACATGCGCGCCAATGGGCTAGTTGTGAGGGACGCCGAAGACCGGGCAAAGTAGAGGAGCAAGTGTTGGAAAGCGGACCCTGGGTTCTCCCGCGCTGGGCGGGATGAGCAACCGGGATAAACGCTAGGTAGAAGAAGAAGAAGAAGAGATAATAATAATTCTGATATAATTTTTCCATGATGAATATAGTTCAAACACCAAGTAGTAGCGAAGTACATACTCCGAAACTGAGCCTCACGGTTGTCAACTTTCGTAGCTTTTTATTTTACCTTATGTTAAAATTTTAACTATGCGTGACTTTGTAGTAGAATGAAGACTAATACTCGTAGAAAAGGAAGTGTACTCAAGCATTTGGTTTTTACTAAGTAAAACATGGTTGTAATATAGTAGTATATTATACTGATCCGTTGCAGCTCAGCGGCTAAGCCCTCGTCATGATTTAGCTAGTAGATTTAGCAGTACGCGAGCAACCCGGGTTGTTAAACCCCGGAGCACCAATGAAATTATTAATTGCAGTTTAAGTGTTGATTTACCACATGCTTGAACATTAAAGAGAACACCGTGAGGAAGTATGCTTATCTGAGAATAAAAAAAAAGTTTCGAGTCCGCCAACCTGCACTGGATCATCGCAACAGACATCGTTTTATATTTCTCAAAATAATTTAAAAGTAATCAGTGAAAGTATGTTATTCATCACCACTTTAGCCCGTGAATTCTAAGGGTCTCCACCATGTAGGTTGGATTTACTTAAATTATCACGCTTGGCAGACGGACTGATGATCGTAACATCAAACTTTTCACACCTTTGATACAGTTTCCAGCTTTAGTATTTAGTGTTACCATGATGGTTATAACTTAATCTATCGACGACCAGCATAAAATTATTTTGGTATAAGTCATAGTCGCCTTTTATCATGGGATGAAATATGATAAAATTCATTCATTCAGTCTTTTATTGTAAAGGGCTGTAATAAATACAGCCCTTTACTTACAAAATTATTGTAGTAAACAACTATTCGAATGTGGCGGACATAAATTAAATAAGCTGATAAGAAGTGAGTAGCATTATCGGTGCCAGGGTGTCTGGCTCTGCGTACACCAACCCGTCTGTCCATTGTGATGAGTGTGACTAAATCTTTCAAGTTACAAATATTGGTGGCGTATTCTTACCTCGTATAATCAGCGGTGGTAAAAAAAATGTTCTGATGAAGATAAAGTCTGGCCATCCTTCAACTCATATTTTAAATTGGAATACAAATTGTGGTCATAACTAAGAAACGTGGTCTTTGGCCTAATCAATAAGTTAGACTACAAATAGTGGTCAGTACTAGAGGCTCTCAAGAAAATATGTAAAACTAGCAGTGGCTATATTCCGCATGCTTACTGAGTAAATCCGTTCCGTTGTTAGAGAAATAAAAAGCCTGTTATCGAAGCCAAAGGAAGCCGTTGTAAATCAACTTGTTTTTAATTAATCCCTTCATTATCATCATCATCTTTACTGCCCATCACATGTACACTGCTGAATATAGGCCTCCCCAAAGAAATGCTATAAAGCACGGTCCTGAGCTACCTGCATCCATCGAGTTCCTGGATTAATTGCTTAGACTTCGATAAATATGCACATATAATTTTGTTTGTTATAACAGGAACACTGTAGATATAAAATGTATTTCAAAAGAAGTTTTTATAGGCGTTGCTAATGCCAGCATCCAAGTCCTTTATCAGACCAGCTCCATAGTAACATACCATTGTACGAATGTCTCGTTGGTGTAGTGCTCGTAACCGCAACCGCTAATCAGGTTAACGGGTCCGTGGCGCAGTGGCTTAGCATTGAATTGCAGTGCTGAGGGCTGCGGGTACGAATACCGTACGGAACAAGTATTTTCTTTTATAGGATAAGGGTGACAAGCAAGCACACGGCCCATAGACATCTACATCTATCCTCTGTTACAAATCAAAATGTAGATGCGTTGTCACCCGTGAGGACTAAGATGGAATGCCTCATTTCCAGTAAAAAGGGCCTCCGGCCACCTTGCACTCACCAAGCGAAACGCAGAGGTAAACCTCTACTTCACGCTGGTTTTCTGTGAGGTCGTGGTACTACCCCGGTTCGAGCGGGCCCATCCGTGCGACAGCAAAAGCTGCCGCGTGGCTCTACCACTGTTGACTATTTCTTATGTTTCTTAAATGATCTAAAAATAACTGTTTTGGGTCTAGATGTTTGTTTTTGTGCAATTTATGTTTGTAAACTGCCTTCACAATACAGAAGAGAATTCTAGTTTGGAGAACATGCCCCTCACCCATTGTTGTGAGAATTAATAGGTCAATTAGCGATTTTCGTACCAGATAACAGTCACCGTTGACGTTGTTTTCCGTTACTGGACATTTTTCCTTAGTAACCAGGGTTGGCAGACGGTTGAATAACCGCAGTTCATTATTTTAAGATGTAATCAAGAAGATGCTGGTGTCCATTTCCTGTTTCGGTTTCCCTCTGTCCCTTCTTAAAACATCATCGAGATTTGCCATAGCCGCTATTTACAGTACTTGAATGATAAAATGTGAAGATGCTATTCCGATGCCACAACATGGCAAAAAATTTTATTTACTTTGGCTGTTGAATACAAAACATACAAAAAGGCGGAATCAACGTTTAATTATTTACTCCTCCCGTCATCCGTTTCAAAAATAATGAAATCTCTTTTCATCATTTTTGAAACGATGTATACTTGAACAAAAACAAAACAAAACAAAATTAATGTATACTTGAAATAAATTCAAAAACAAATGCATGAAAAGTCATATACATCAATTAACTTCCTACAGAATACAGGCCTCCGACAGATTATCCCTTGGTGGATGGCTGACTTAATATGAGTAAATATTATTTATTTCTAACAGATACAGCTTACCTTTTTTACCTTCAAGCACGTCCATTGTAACAACGGTGATCAAACTTGCTAATATTTAAGATAAAATTAACATAAGACACGCACAACCCCCTCCTTTCGTGTTACTGATGTCGCTTGAATATTTATTTTAAATATTCAATATACATGATTATTAAACCCATGCATAAATATGAAGATGACAAATTGAACAGGTGAAGGAGTTTGTGTATATGGGTTCAAAGTTTACTAGAGATGGAAAGTGTGAGAGTGATATCGAAAGAAGAGTGAATGCAGGAAACATGGTGATCGATTTCTCAAAATAATTTAAAAGTAATCAGTGAAAAAAAAAATCTTTGCAATCCTTTATGAGCAGTCGGAAGGTGTTCGCAAGGCTCGTTTGGCTGTGCATGAAGTGTAAATAGAATAAATGCAGTTGAGATGAGAGCGTTAAGAAGTATGATAGGAGTTAAACTGAGTGACAGGATAAGAAATAGTGAGATAAGGAAACGTTGTGATCTGAAAGAAGATATAGTGACAAAAATTGAGAAAGGTATGCGGAGATGGTTTGGCCATGTCGAGAGAATGAATGAAGAACGATTGACGAAAAAAGTGTATAAGGCGAGTGTGAATGAAAGTATTGGTAGGGATAGACCTAGGCGGACATTTCTAGACCAAATCAGGGACGTCTTGCAATAAGGCCTGGTCAAGAGTACCCTAAACCGAAAAGCATGTATGAAGGCAATAATGAAAGTGGACGAAGCGAAACAAGTATGTAAGTATCGTAGCAAGTGGAAAGAAGTGGTCCTTCCCTACGGGAAAGAGGCGTGATTATATGTATGTATGTATGTATAAATATTAAAATGGCAACTAAAATTTTCAGATAATATTTATCAAATCTGCGACTAAGAAGGTTGTTGTTACACACTTTGCGTAGAATGTCTTTAAGTAAGAGTAAAAAGATTTGAAGCTTTATGCCCCGTATTCGTGGGAATCATTTGTTGAGCAACAGATTTGAATCAAGGCGTTGCACAGTTGCTGTCAACATGTTGCTGGGAACACTGCGTGTTGCAAAGTTGACAACGGCATGTTGACAAGATCTCGCCCGACGAGCGTAAACATCAGTTCAGCAACCAATGTTGACGTGTGTGAACGCGTTTGCAATAGTTTATAAACATGGCATTTGTGTGGAGCAATGATAAAATAATGCAATTAATAGAATTATTTCAATCAAAATCATTATTATGGGATTTTTCTATAAAAGAATACAAAGATACAAACAAAAAGAACGATGCATTCGAAGAAATTTCTCAAGCCCTAAATATACCCAAAAAAGATATGGAAAATAAAATAAATGTACTGCGTATTCAATTTACTAGAGAGAAAAAAAAGATGTCGGCAAAGAAAACTACAGGCAGCGGCGCCATAGAAAAATGTAAATCGATTTATTACAAGCTATTGGAATTTTTGTTATGTGGTGCAACCACTTCTGGTGAAACGGATACTATGAATAAAACAGTAAGTTGTTTTTGTATATAATTTTTATTGTACTATTACAGACATTAATTTTACAGACAAAAATTATTTTAATTACGCTACATTATTTTGTAATGGAACCCCTCCCTCTGGACTTATAAAGTAATAGACAAACTGTTCTCTAATACAAAAAGCTGATTGTGATGCATGCCTACCCCGTCTTTGCAAATTGCCCATAGCAAACGAACCTAGTTCCCTTCGTCATGAACCTTCTATTAGGTTACCTTCAGAGTCTTCAAAATAAGAAGTTTATGGAGGTGTATATATGGAAGAGGAAACTATGTTACGTCTTAAGAAATTATGTAAATATACACAAGCAATTACCACGAGTTCACAATTGGCTGGTATTAACTGAATAGGTTTAGTGAATACACGGAACATCACACATAAAATACCAAAAACATTTTCTATAATCCTTGTTTAGGCAAGAATATTATACCTTCGAAACGTATTCTTTAACGTGCGCGCTTAGTCTCGATATCGAGGTCACCTTCCCCTCCCCCGGCGGGATTACGCGGCGGAATCGGACGGACTTCTCGAGAGTCATTGTAGAATTCCTTGCGAGCTATACTGACGTCTGTTTTCCGCGCCTAACTTGTTACGAAAGTATCAACCCGAGTAAATCGTTGTGAGAACCCGTATCGTTCATTAGGACTTACTAACTATGTTAAATTAATTGTGCAACTATAATAGTGATTTACCTCTGATGTACTACGTGTAGCTGTCCCATTTCGTGACAAACCAGGAAGAGTGCCTCCAGAGGGGGAAAGTTCCGAGGATACCAGCGCATACCTTCTCCCGGACGGCATTGCGTCATCCAGACTAGGCCACGTCAACATACACGTACATACAATCACACATACACTCACGACACTGTCATCAGCCGGGCCGGTCTTGGAGAACCGTCTCCGCTCCTGGAGCAGGTGAGTGCCTTTATCATAGTGATATTTCCCCTCGTTTATTTCTATTAGAAATTTCCACTTTGGCCAAAAGCCCGACCTGTATCTGCCTGTAGGATCTTCCTACTATGGGCCTAGGTGGATACTACCATTAGTTAGGCAGCTGCAGGCCGTAACATTTGGTAGCAGAGCGTGGTTGATTGTGTCTACAATCACGCCCGGCCGTAATACGTAAAATTAATATAAATAATAATTCTTTCTTGTTGCATAGTGGCTCGCCTTTTCTCTGTTGTTAGGAGGTAGTTTACTAACGCCACGCCCGTAGGTAACAAGCGAGAATTGTTGAGGCGAAGTATTTGATTAGATACATAAGGCTGTCACGTAATGGGATAATTGTTAATCGTACTAGGGTTGTTACGTGCTAATTTGATTTGTGTTTTTTCGTATTAACTTGCATTTAATAATTGTGTAATTTCTATCTAATCTGATTGATATTATCGTATTAGTAGTACTGTATTCGTTATTTCTGTTATTTTGTTATTGTATTTAGTAAGGATGCCGTCACATAAGCTACTATTCGTTGCTTGCGGACTGACCTGCGCTGGGCTACCAGCGCACACGCGTTGATAGGCCGACCGGACAGGGTCTATAATCTGAGGAAGAGGCTCGAGCAGGTCGATGCTCGAAGGGCTGCCGTGGAGGAGGCTTACTCTGAGCTCGAGGACTCGGAGGTGGAAAAGGGAGTCCTGGAATCTTGCCGCGCGGACTACGAGCAGTTCCTCGCGCTAACGGACGACCTGATCGAGGCGGGGGCCAAGGACGCGGAGAGGGAGCGCGAAGCTCGGCTGAGTAGCCTTCTCGAGTCCCCGCGGAAGCCGCCTACTCAGCCAGAGCTGCTAGGACGACTCCCCACGCTGGACCTGCCAAGGTTCTCCGGGGTCCTCTCGGAATGGCTGATATTCGTCGGCATGTTTGACAGCCTGGTGGACGCCCGGAGGGACTTGACTCCTGCCAAAAAATGGGGTACCTCCTGGCATCACTGGAGGGGGAGGCCCTGGGCTTCGTCGGCCACCTTAAGTTGTCGGACGACGCCTACCAAAACGCCAGGGACCTCCTCTCTTGAAGGTACGCCAACGTCCGGCGGATTGCGGACGATCATGTTCGGAGGCTGCTGAACCTCCCACTGCTGAAGGACTGGACTAGACTACGTGAAGACATAGTGAATCCAGTCGTCGTAGCGTGCAACTCGTTGCGGCGGCTGGATTTACCTGTGGACGAGTGGTCTTTTTTGCTCCTTCATATAGTGCTGTCCCGCCTACCGCCTTCGGCTCCATTTTGAGGAGAGGTACGAAGGGGATGGCGCCTCGTACATGCCCCCCTTTAGGGACCTGCTGCGGTTCCTGGAGGAGCAGTGTAGGCAGCTGGAGAACGCAGCAGGCGCCGTCGAGGGCCCCCCGGCCGCCTCCCGAGCGGTGCCCAGGGAGAGGCGAAATCAGCCGGCCAAGGCGGCGCCCACCCACCTGAGCCCGAGCGGAGCCCCCGCGGGAGGGCGCCCCCCAGTACCCTCCTATAGTGGCCTAGCGGCCCGGGAAGCGCCGCCCTGCTCCTATTGTCGAGCATCCGACCACCGGGCAGCGTCGTGCCCGAAGTTGTTGCGCAAGCCGGCTACGGCGAGGCGAACCATCGCCAGGGAGCGCCGCTGGTGCTTCTCGTGCCTGGAGAGGCATTTACAACGAGACTGCCCGCACCAGCGGCCGTGCACGCACTACCAGGGCAACCACCACGTCATATTGTGCCTGGGTGCGCGCGGCTCGTCCCCTCAGGGACCTGCCAGCCCCCCGACTCCCACGGGCGGGGGCGCCCAGCCACGCCCACTGTCGGGCGACACTCGGCGCTCACCGGTGGACCACAGCGCCCCTCGTTCTGAGGGGAGTCCCTCCCCCGATCGGTCTGGGAGTCGTTCCCCCAGGGGCGGGGGGGTCTTCACCCCCCCTCAGCGGGTTAATAGTGGATTCGCAGCCACTCAGCGGTCAACTAGACCGTTCTCACCCCCGTTGGCTGAGTGGCCGCGACTGGAACGCCGCTCGCCCCCCTTTGGTCGATGCCGGTACTACCGGGTTCCGGAGACTGCGTATCGGCCACGGGCCTTGGAGCCGAGGATCCCCGAGTTTCCCCAGGTCGGCCCGTTCGGGGAATTCCAGTCAAGGGTCATCGAGACGCTGTCGGAGTGCCGCTCTCGGGGCCCCCGGTTCGGGTGCCGGTCCAACAGAGGCAGCTCCAGATAGGAGGCTGCCGCCCTAGCTCCCGCCATGGCCGCCTCCACTGAGCCTATAAGTCGTCAGCAGTCCACCTGTCAAACTGTTCTATTGCCGACGGCCTCAGTGAAGGTTTACAACCCGAGCGGCGACCGCTTAACGGTTCGAGCTCTATTGGATTCGGGTTCCCAACGTAATGTGGCCTCTACTCGGTTGGTGGGAAGACTGGGGCTCCCCTGGAGCTCTGAATCACGTCCGATGGTAGGTATCGGAGGTGCCGAGCCTCCTGCTCCTAGGGGACAAGCGGAGTTGGTGTTCAGCCCTGACAGCGAACACCTTCGTATTTTAGTCAAGGTGACATTGTAGGGTTTCTCCCTAACGTTCGTATAAATGACAGCGCTGTGCGCTGTGCGTCGGCTTTGAGACCGGCAGACCCTCGGTGGGCCCAACCTGGGCCTATAGATTTGTTACTGGGGGCCGACACGCTGGGTGTCCTCTTGTTAGGTGAGATACGAGCTCTGCAGCCCGATGGCCTGTCAGCCATTTCCACGATATTTGGGCACAGCTTCTTTGGACCGGTTATGTGGTCTCCTCCCCCTCCGAACGGCCGACCCGCTCTCCGTCGTGGGCGTGTCCCTATCGGACGCCGTCCAGCGGTTCTGGGAAATTGAGGAACCACCACATACAGCTCGAGTCGACCCTCTGGACCGTGAGTGTGAGTTGTTCTACCAGAACAATACCGGCCGGCGGGTTGACGGTCGTTTCGTCACTCGCTTACCCTTTCTGGACTCACGTCCCTCTTTGGGTCAATCTCGTGCTCTGGCCGAGAAGAGGTTGCTTTCCATGGAGCGCCGCATGCGGCGCGACCCAGCCTTTCGCGACAAATATGTCGAGTTCATGCACGAGTATCAGGAGCTGGGTCACATGTCACCGTCCAACTTCGAATGGCGTTCACAGGAGCACTACTTCCTCCCTCACCATGCGGTCTTGAGGACCCCTGAGAGTAAGATTCGGGTAGTTTTTGACGGTTCCGCCCCCACACCAAACGGTGTGTCTCTGAACCAGTGTCTTCACTCGGGTCCTAAACTGATCAAGGACATATCCGACATCTTGACCCAATTCCGTCGACACCAAGTGGTTTTTGTCGCGGACATTCGGATGATGTTTCGCCAATCTGTGATCCATCGTGATGACCACCGATATCAGCTGATATTGTGGCGCGAGAAGCCCAGCGATCCTATACAGGTGTTTGAGTTGAACATCACCACATATGGACTCCGGTCCAGCCCGTATATCGCCATGCGAACCCTCCTTGAACTCGTTGAGAGTAAGCGCCTGAGATACGCTCGGGGAGCTTCTATTTTGGAGACTTCGGTCTACATGGACGTCATTTGTACGGGCGCTTCCACCGTCGAGGAGGCTCTGGTCTTGCGAGACGAATTAATTGCCATCCTGAAGTCCGGAGGCTATGAGTTGCGCAAGTGGTTGTCGAACTCCCCTTATATTTTGAAGGACCTCCCAGGAGAGGATCAACAAGACCCTCATCTGTTCGAGCACCCTGAGAATCCTAATTTGTTGACTGTGCTGGGCATTCAATATCAGCCTGTTCAGGACACCTTTACGTATAGAGTAAAACTTGACCCACCGCCCAAAGCATGGACCAAACGCTCCGTGCTGTCCACCGTAGCCCGCACCTTCGACCCTAATGGGTGGATCACCCCGGTCATCTTTTTAGCTAAGTGCTTTCTTCAAAAGCTCTGGATGTCCGGGTTGGGTTGGGACGAGCCGATTGGCGGAGCCCTCTTGCGAGAGTGGCTCTCCATGATCTCCTCCCTTCCGGATATCAACCGGGTTTCCATGCCAAGGTGCTTCCTTCCCCACGGGAAATGTCGGGCTACCCTACATGGGTTTTGCGACGCCTCTGAGAAGGGCTATTCTGCTGTCGTATATTTGCGGACGGTGAGTTCCTCTGGTCTTACTGCCGTCCATCTTGTACTCGCTAAAAGCAAGGTTGCTCCCATTAGGTCCCGCTTAACTATCCCTAAATTGGAACTGTCCGGTGCCGCTCTCCTCACGCGACTCCTCAACAACGTTCACTCTTCCTTGAAGCCTGTAATCGACATTACGGGCGTCTACGCATGGTCGGACAGTGAGATAGTACTTTGTTGGCTCCGAGCTGCACCTCACAATCTTGAGGTCTTTGTGGAAAACCGCGTGTCTCAAATCCAGAGTTCTGAGACTTCTCTCAACTGGCGACATGTCCCAGGGGAGTTGAATCCCGCGGCCTGCGTTTCTCGCGGCTGTGAGGCCCCATCGCTGGTTGACCACCCACTGTGGTGGGGTCCCGGTTGGTTATCTGGGTCTCAGTCATTCTGGCCCCCGGGCAATTACTCCGAACCTACCGAATTGCCGGGCCTACGAGCCCGAGTAGGAGTGGGCAAGGATAAGCCCACTTGGGATCTCTCTCTTCTGGAACGGTACAGCTCCCTCAATAAGCTCTTGGGAGTTACTGCGTGGTTGCGCCGCTTTGTCCGCAATTCGAGATACCCATCCCACCGACTCTCTGATAGCGTTTTGTCCCCTAGCGAGCGCCGTGAAGCTTTGATGCACTGGACCCGTATGGTCCAAACGGAGCAGTTTGAGCCCGTCATTAAAAACTTGAAGCGTGGCTCCGTTATCAAGGGCGCCTTGGCCCGCCTGAACCTCTTTCTGGATAACGCGGGGATGCTGCGCGTTGGCGGACGTTTAAAAAATTCTCAACTGCCGTACGGGGCTCGACACCCGTTGCTGCTCCCTAAGGACGGCGCCCTGGTCCGGTTGCTGGTATCCCACCACCATGTTAAGAATGCCCACGCTGGGTGCAACGCTCTTTCGGCTATTTTCGGAGTCGGAGTCGGAACCGACTTTGCTGGCCCCTTCCTCGTCAAGTCGTCTAACCTTCGTAACGCTCGTTCGCATAAGGCCTATCTTTGCGTCTTCGTGTGCCTCTCCACTAAAGCCGTTCACTTGGAACTTGTAAACGCCCTCAGCACGGAAGCCTTCTTAGTCACGCTTGGCCTTTTCGTGTCGCGGCGCGGGTTGCCGGACTTGATCCGGTCGGATTGCGGAACGAATTATAAGGGCACGGATAGGTATCTAAAGGAGGTCGTCGAGTTTCTGTCTAGCCACCGGACTTATTTAGGCAATGCTATGTCAAAAAGGGGCATCCAGTGGAAATTCGACCCTCCGGCGTATCCCCACTGGGGCGGTATTTTCGAGGCGGTGGTTAAAGTGGCAAAAACGCATCTCCGTCGCGTTATTGGTGAAGCTATTTTGACATTTGAGAAGCTCGCCACTGTATTCTGTAAAATTGAGGCGGTACTCAACTCTCGGCCCCTCTGTCCCCTCTCCTCCGACCCGAATGATTTGGAAGTTCTGACCCCGGGACACTTCCTGATTGGCTAGCCTCTTAACGCTCTGCCCGAGTACCCCTTCAGGGAAACGAGCGCTTCACGGCTCAGCAGGTTTACCCTGCTGCAACAGATGACTCAAAGCTTTTGGCACCGATGGTCTCTGGAGTACCTACATCTTTTGCAGCAGCGCGTTAAGTGGTCTGACAAGACGGAGCCTCCTCGGGTGGGAGACCTCGTGTTGGTTAAAGAACCAAACGCTCTACCTTTGTATTGGCGCCGTGAGCGCATTGTTAAGTTGTCGTATGGAGCGGAAGGGGTGCCTAGAGTGACCGAGGTTTTGGTCGGAGATTCGGTCTTGCAACGAGCCGTCGCGACCTTGTCCCGTTTGCCAATCTACTCGCGGACCTAATGCCTTATGTCCGGGGCGGGGGTTTGTTTAGGCAAGAATATTATACCTTCGAAACGTATTCTTTTACGTGCGCGCTTAGTCTCGATATCGAGGTCACCTTCCCCTCCCCCGGCGGGATTACGCGGCGGAATCGGACGGACTTCTCGAGAGTCATTGTAGAATTCCTTGCGAGCTATACTGACGTCTGTTTTCCGCGCCTAACTTGTTACGAAAGTATCAACCCGCGTAAATCGTTGTGAGAACCCGTATCGTTCATTAGGACTTACTAACTCTGTTAAATTAATTGTGCAACTATAATAGTGATTTACCTCTGATGTACTACGTGTAGCTGTTCCATTTCGTGACAAACCAGGAAGAGTGCCTCCGGAGGGGGAAAGTTCCGAGGATACCAGCGCATACCTTCTCCCGGACGGCATTGCGTCATCCAGACTAGGCCACGTCAACATACACGTACATACAATCACACATACACTCACGACACTGTCATTAGCCGGGCCGGTCTTGGAGAACCGTCTCCGCTCCTGGAGCAGGTGAGTGCCTTTATCATAGTGATATTTCCCCTCGTTTATTTCTATTAGAAATTTCCACTTTGGCCAAAAGCCCGACCTGTATCTGCCTGTAGGATCTTCCTACTATGGGCCAAGGTGGATACTACCATTAGCTAGGCAGCTGCAGGCCGTAACAATCCTCCTAGCGCTTGATAGTCTGTAATTGAATATGCGGTTTTGTTCACATGTTCATGAATGCCAGGATATGGTTTCATGATGTTCTCCGTTAGCGCGAAAGCACTGTCACCTACAATAACGTATGGCATTTCTGGTCCGCCTTGTGTTATTGGTTCAGGAAGTGGCAGTTTAAGTGAGTTTTCTAACAATGCATTATAAAACGGTGTTTCCTGAAATATTCCACTGTCGGACGTCCGACCCTTAGCTCCACAATTTGCGTATATAAAGTTATAATTTCCATCTGCAATTGTAGAAGTACCATGCTGAACTGATTTTTGTAATTGTAGTATTCACTTCCAGAATTATTTGGCGCTACAATCAAAACGTGTTTCCCATCAACGGCTCCAATGGAATGTGGAAAATTCCATCGTATTTCGAATTCACAACTGCTCGGACCTTGGAACCTACAAATATAAAAAATAATAATAAGATGATTATTTACAGGTGGATGAATACAATGCACTTGAAAGTGATATGGAGTTAGAGCCATCTCAATCACCAAGGCCCACATCGAATGCTATAACATCTACATCTTCGAGGAAAAGAAATCAGACAGATGACTTAAGTGAAATATTTGATGTTTTGAAAAGTGCGAAAAAAAAAGATGGATGAAAATGAGAAGAAGGATCCATTTGATAATTTTGGTGAATATATAGCTACTGAATTAAGAAGTGTTAATGATGACCATGCCGTAACACAGACAAAGTACCATATTAAAAATGGGCCGATATAATACATATGGATATCAAACAGCATCTTCTCATACATCATCAACACCAAATAATATCCAAGAAACTGAAATAAGGGAAATTGAGAGACAGGACACAAATAGAGTAGATGCAATACAAGACGAAATAAAAGATTCTGCTTTAATAAACTTAGTTAACTATCTCAGTGATGAATCAACACAATAGCATAAATTGTTTTTTTTACTATTAAAATACTTGATTACACAAATATTGTTTTTGTACCTACCTTGACATATCCTGATAGCGAATTAATTAGTTCTTGGCATACATGTGGTATGATTTTGCTGATCAATTATTTAGATACTCTGAATGTGTATGAAAGAGAACTGTATGAATCTCCAGTTGCAAGATACCGTAATGTAATGGCCAACCTCGTCTGAGGTGAAACTGGCCGAAAAATGTTTGTTTCCCTTTTGGCTATTGAGGGACCAATCATTTCCAGAAGATGTTCGAAATCACTTTTCGACATTCTCGTAAAGTTAACAAATGGTCCATCTCTCATTCTGAGGTTCTTTCGTTCGTTCGTTCTCATCAAATTTTCTCTTTGCAGGAGATTGTTTCGAATCCACCATCTTTTTTTCTTTTTTTTATTAGAAATCCTATACATCAGATACAGAGAACACAACAACACTACTTCCTCGGGCAACATTTTAACGCAGACTGGCGTGTGGACAACGTATATTGATTTAAACAAAGTTTAATCAACATTCTCCCCGCTTCATCAACAATGTTTATCAACTGTTGCTCACCAAATGTTTCCCATGAATACGGGGCTTTAATGTATGTCAGTAATGTGTTTTGAAATATTCATGAAATTGAATTAAGATGTCATAATATTTAAATTCTCTCACTAAACAAACTTTAAGTTAATGTACGATGATTTGTCGAGTCTTTATATATCATGAATTTAAAAGTAATTTTAAATTTATTTCTCGAAAACATACGTTTTTTTGATTTTTGATAAATCGTTTTAAAATTAATTTTGTTGAAATTATAGATAAATTTTCCTTGTTACAGTCAAAACAACAATCTAATTTTATTTACAGAATGATGTGTTTATTTAAAAAAAATCAATCAGGTACTAATATATTTAGCCTTAAGTTTCTAATTCTAAACATTTTTATTCGATGTTAGCAATAACATTGACAATGAAAGATATCGAATGAATGTAAGACGAGATTTCAATCAAACCTGCCTTATGTACATTAAATGAGTAAGATTGATTCACATGTACTTTATAAAAGTCTATTCTATTTGTGGAGTCTTTAGATTAACCAATTTTTAACGTTTATTATACAACCTTACGCTGCCCTCTTATGTAATATAAAAGTCTTTAAAAGAATTGATTTCTTTAGATAATATCTTATATTTACGCGAACATTTTACGAATTTTATATCGTTATTTAACTTGATAGAGTACTTTACAGTACACATGGTCACGAGGGAACTGAGTTGATCGATGTCCCAATGGCATAGTTAACCACAGCTAACTTCAGTTACAGTGGAAGTTTATAATAAATGATTAAATAATACAAGTTTTTTTGATAAAATGATTAAAATTTCTTTCTCTCAATTATTTAGTTAAATATGTATGATTTACACACCACAAATCAACTTACATTAAAATATAAATATGTATTTGTCATATATCATACGAATAACACACTATATATATATATATATATATATATATATAAACTTCCGGTATGCGTGTATTCATAATTATTCTCTCCTAACCGATTTTGAGGAATTTTTTATTTATGGATGGTTCTTAGCTCAGCTAGTTGGAACCGATTGATTCGCTGTCGTCGAGAATCAGAAATCACCCGTGCGATTCAGGGCGGATTGCGCTAGCATTTAATAAAATTTTATAATATCACAAATTATTTTGCTGCCTTGTTACTCATTAAATTTAGATATACTTTCTCATCGAGCTTATACGTCTTGTCGAGAACATATTAAATTACTACACTATTTTATAGATTTTACCTTGGAGTTATTCTAAGACACGTTATTACCATGGATACCGTGAATAGCGGGCGAAACAATTGATAAGTGTGTAGGAAACGAGGCGATACTTATATGTACCTATAAATATTCTAGGAGCTCATCTTTATATTATAATTTGGGGCTTATGAAGTGAATATTAATTTGGATAATAGTCGACGTATTTTCTGCCGACTTCCAAAAAGGAGACGGTATTCAATTCGACTGTATGTTTTTTTTATGTGTGTTACCTCATAACTTATTACTGGGTGAACCGATTTGGATGATTCTTTTTTTATTTGAAAGCTGGTACTTTTCGTGTGGCCCATATGAATTTGATCAAGGTCAGACCAATAGTTTATTTATTTATTTATTTATTTATTGACACACCAACAGCATAACATACAAAACATTACAATAATCTTCGTCTTATAAATAGTTTGGTATGCATGCCAATTACTGGTGCATACATCACTCTCATTAGAAGACATTAAATTAATTTAAGTTCAAAATAAATTTCAATTTACAAATTTTGAGTTGCAGCAAATTAATAAGTAAAAATCAAAAATCAAAAATCAAAGTATAACAAAAAGAAGAATTTTAGTAGCATAAATATTAAATTACAAATCTAATTTACCAACAAAAATGTGCGGTAAGCTTTTTTTTCAGATTTGTCACTGAGTCATGAAAAATATCAAAATCTTTAATGGACGCGGAAAATCGATTGTACTCAGAACACATCCTTGATAATGGAGAATGTTTTAGAGCATTTGTTCTACTTACTGGTACAACAAGTATGTTAGTGAGAGGATTTCGTGGATATCTGTACGGGATTTTGAAATTTATTTCATTAAGCAATTCACTGCATGCCATCTGTCCTGACAACAGCTTTTTGAGGAATGTTATATCTAATATTATGCGGCGATTATAAAGTGACATCATTTTAAAGTGTTTCAGCCGCAAGTCATAGGTGGCCTTATGAGAGATGCCGGAAGTGTGATATGTCAGGTATCTAGTAAAGGATCTTTGTAGTCTCTCCAGACGTTGAGATGGTGCCGCGTATTGGGGACTCCACACAACTGATGCAAATTCTAGTTTGCTGCGAACCAGTGAGTTATAAAGGATTATTTTGGTTTGAGGAGAAACAAATCCTTTGGTATTTCTTTTAAGGAAACCTAACATCCTGGCTGCTTCTTTTACAGTTTTGTCCATGTGCACTTTGAATTTCAATTTCGTGTCCATTGTTACGCCCAAATCTCGAATCTCCTTAACCTCCTGTAACGTATCTAGCTCTAATTTATACGATGATGGCAATTGAACTTTTTTCTTTGTGTACTTAATGTGGTAAGATTTCTTCGTATTAATAATCATGCCGTTCAATTTGCACCACATATTTATTCCATCGAGATCAGCTTGGATGAGCTCCACATCATTATTTGAAGTAACGGTTTTGAATATTTTTAAATCATCGGCAAAAAGTGAGTATTTACAGTAATTTATAGATGAGGTAATGTCATTTATAAACACCGAGAAGAGAACAGGGCCTAAGTGGGATCCCTGTGGTACTCCTGAACATGCAACATACTCATGTGATATGTGACCGTTCAGCACCACAAACTGAAGTCTTTTTGCTAGGTATGAATTAAACCATTCCAGTAAGGTCCCACCAATACCAGACCCGCTCAATTTATGTATAAGAAGCGAGTGACACACCTTATCAAAAGCGCTCGAGAAATCCATGTATATACAGTCTACTTGTTGGCGTCTATCTATTTCTTTACTTAGATAGGACATAAATGACACCAAGTTCGTTTTGATAGAACGTCCTTTTCGAAACCCATGTTGAAATTCTGACATCCGACTTTCCAAGTGGCGCGTGACAATTGGGCAAACAAGGGACTCAAACAGCTTAGGTATACAAGAAAGTATGGATATAGGACGGTAGTTTTTGATGTCACTGCTGTCACCCTTCTTGTACACTGGAACGATCTTAGCTTTTTTCCACAATTCAGGAAATACCCCGTCATGCAAAGATCTATTGAAAAGAAGTGACAGTGGCAGAGTAAGAGTAGGACCGCAGCGCTTTACAAAAACAGGAGGGATCTCATCCGGACCGGCACCCTTGAAGTTATCTAGTTTTTTAATGGCACGTTTAATTTCATGTTCACTGAATCTAATTACACTCAAATATGGCAAACCGTGCACTGCGGACTCTAGGCTATCAGGTAATACTGTGTTACTAAACACTGATGAAAAATTTTTAGCAAATAGTTCTGCAATTTTTGTACCAGTGTTTGCAATTTCGTCATCAAGGCTCATTTCGGCAGGTATAGTAGTTTCACCACCTCGCCTATCCTTAATATAGTTCCAGAAATATTTAGGATTCCTGACAATATTACCCTCGACCCGTTTTTTATAACTTTGTAGGCATGCGTCTATTATTTTCTTACTTCGCTCACGAAGTAATTCATACTCCAACCTATCGCGTGGATTTCAAAACTACTTTTTAGTTTTAGCACTTATTCAGACACTTTTTAATTACCGTTTTACAACACTTCGTCAGCTTTTTATCTATTGAACACTCTGATACAACTCAATACTAAAATTTTGTAGATATTTCACCATTTATCAATTTTTTTCTTCCACAATTACAGAAACACGTCTTCTCTCAACAAGCGCCCAGCGCAAGAGTTGACAGTTTTTGAGTTATTCTTAATAACTCATATTGAAGTCGGCTGTACAAATGTTTTAATTTTAAATTGTAATATATCTAAATCCAAGAATTTATACATAATAGTGCTGAAACGCTGTCGCACTGTTTTTAATAATGTTTTCCAGACCGAATTTCAGTCACGAAGTCCAATCTCAACGACATTT